ATTATTCAACACACCTAGGCCCATGTTTACCGAATGCTGCCACAATAACAAAAACTGATGGATGAGAAAAACTGCTCAGGCAATAGTCACCAATAAACATAGAAACAGCAGCCAGTTCATTTTCTCTGCTGACAACTCAAATCATTGAGAAGCAGCTGATGTCCCAGGCACAGTAGCTCTGTGGCTACTGTTGAACCACCACTCCTCTGTGCAAAACCCAGATACCAATAACGTTTTTGTTGTGTCCCAACTTCCACTTTTTGAGCATCTTTAATAACAACAGCGTTTTATGGTGGGTTGCCCAACATTCACACAAAAACATTATCATGGTCTGAACGTCCTATTGATTACATGTGAGGTGTCAGTGAGTGGAAAACATGTTGTTGTAACCAAGCCGTCACAGTGTGTATGTTTCTTTTACATATATACAAAGTCTCAAAGAATCAGGTCCCGTCTTACCTCACAGTGCCATCTCACCCCAACACTTCGCTCTCACACTTGTGTCACCCTCAGTGCTCGAGCCGACCTGTTCAGTATAAACATCAGAGCAGACTGTAAGTAAATGTGGCCTTGATATTACATTCATATTAAATTCTGGAAAGAAAAATTTATTTATTTATGACTTTTATATAAATCTAACTTGAGTGACTAATTCAACTTTTGGAAACGTTGAAATCCTGGGTGTTTTCAGATTTTCTTAAAAATAACTGTTGTTTCTTCTTAACACTGGATTAATATGGCATACAGCTGGCTTTCTAACAGTGCACGTTAGAAAGTAAAAGAAGCAAACAAAGCAGAGATCACAAGTTTGTTGTATTTCATGTGGTTGTATTTAGATTTGTGCATGTATACATTAGTGTCATTGATCACAACAGGAGTTACATGGATGTTGGCCTGTTCATACACTGTTCTTGACCAGAAAAATGTTGGAAACCACTTAGCAAATCCACACAGATCAAACACAAAACCTATTGATTCTCTTATCAATTCTCATTGCCTCCAATTTAGGAGCAACCACAACAGTAAAGACATTACAGCCAAATTAACTGCACGTTGTGCGGTCAGATGTTTGTACATGTTGGAGGTACTTCCAACAAAACAGTAGGTGGAAACGGAGCCTGACTGCTCATCAGTTACCTGCTGGAGTCCTGGGTCTGGCTGCTGGACTCGGGTCACTCATCCCAGCAGAACATCATCATCACTCTGGGTTCTTGGCTAGCTTAACGTTAGCATGTTGTCTGTGCAGCCAAAGTTGTGTTAGCAACATAATGCAGCTGTTACCATGGCGCTCTCGTCTTTTTGTGCAATAAAAATAGTCATGTCCATATCAATAATTTGAAATGAAACATTAACAGTCCCGTGAGTCTTTGAACAAAGCTGTTCCATCCTCAGGTGTGTACAGTTACACTCAACACGCAGCTGAAATTTACACGTCACTCAATATAAGAGTCGTGACAGAATTCCTAGTAAGTAACTAGAATCCATAACAGCCACAATTATTTAATTATTCCATCTCATAAGTGTTCAGTCAGTAAATGAACTTAAATGTTTCATATTTGCGTACCCCTGGTTTAGACACTAGCTGTAACATTTTGTGCATGCAGGTTGGATGGTTGCTACAGGCAAAGCACAATCTCACATGTGCTGTTTAGGAAACCCGTAATCACAGACTCCATGGATGTAAACCCAAACACGAGGGTTGCCTTCAAAGTTGCATTTTATAAGTCAGTATGTATGAGAAATAAACCATAAATCAAATCTGTTCGATGTGAGATTCGTCCTCTTGCATGCTGCCTTCCTCTTGGGCACTTTCTGTTTAAACACCCATGTGGCAAAGGTTCAACACGATGCAAACACATAACCCACAAGTTCACCACAAGAACACACAAAGGCATAACCAGACTCACAGTGCACGGCTCCGCTTTATGTTTCTTTTACTTTCATGTTTCAGTTCATTGAAAAACTGCTAATAAAACTCCACCATTCACAATTTAAAATACTAATTATACCATGAACAGCACAACAGCTGTTTATAGTCGACTGTGTCAGTGATGACAGTATATGTGCTGGATTTAAGCATAGCTACAAGCCTCCCACCTTACTAATACAAACATGATGCCGCCCCTGTAAAGTTCCAGAAAGCGTACAGTCATTGTCCCCATCACCATCCACCTCTGCTGCACTGCAGCGCTGCTGTGGTCTGGCTCACTGTTCCACTGTGGAAACACTGCAGTCTGCCTTCTGTCCAGTCCTGTTTGGTAATGAATATGTACTGCATCGCACTCTGATAAGAAAACATATCGCTGAATAGCTGGTGACACTTTGTCATTACTTTGTCTCAGTATCACTTTCTTGTCTCTTAGGAAATCAACCCTGAAATGAATACGGCCAAACCTGTTCTCAACCAGTGTGTAAGTGTGGTGTGAACAAACGGCAGGAAGCTTTGACAGAAACACGACATAGCAGCTAAGACTCTGTTAAACGCCCAGGGTCAGTGTGAAAAGCGATTCCTCGGACAGATATTAATGAGACACACATGCTTTAAACATAAACACATACATATATAGTTCCAGTGAAACGGTGGAAGGATGGCACATTAGCACACTGACACATACTGCCGTGCCATAATGGAAGCTGTGACTAATGAGGCTGGTCCACATTTTATAGGTTGGATTTATTGTGTCCCTCGTCACTAGCCATAGATCTCTGGCTGCCTGTGCTTGACCCTGGAGATGATCACCGCTGGGAAATTAACTGCCTGTTAACGTGTTCATTCGTAAACCCGTGCACTGAGTGTATGCATGTGTCTCCGTACCACGGCCCAGGCTGCCTAATGTGGAGATGATCGCTGGACAATTAGTTCGTTCAGTTCTATAAAGTTGGAATACTTGGAATATAATTGGAATACTTGCCTGTGTCATATCCAGGCAACATTCAGTTAGTTTTGCTACTAGTTTTCACTTCCATCCAAGAAGTCCAGATTATGAGCAGGAGAGCTCCTACGGTTTATTAAAAGTGATCTTTCAGTGCTCAATTTAGGGAAGTGGAAAAAGTTGATGGGAAGCAAATCTGGTGAGTAACTGACAAGTTTATTAGTGCACTTTGTGGGAATATGCTGACATGCATGACACTTCAGTTTCTGATTGTTTTCTCTCAGATGACTCATCTGTCAAACTGCCTTCAAATTGCTTAAACCTTCATCATCATTTCATTTCATTTCATTTATTTATTTATTTATTTCACACTTGGTACAACAATTCAAACCAACCAACCACACTTTCTATCAAAAAACACCACAACCATGTGTGAAAAGGAGCAGGAAGAAGAAAATATTCTTATTAAGCCCCGCCCCCTATCTACAATCCAATTTATATTACAAGTGGGCACCAAAAATCAGGGAACAAACCAACATTAACATTTATCTCCGGTCCTAACCCAAACCAAACAACACATTTACAATCAGAATAACCGCTCCACATAGCAACAAGGAGAAAAATACAATTAAAATAAATAAAACAAAAAATTATAATGGATCCTTTTTCAATGAACTCCAATTTCATTCACATTCTTCATATTGAGTTATCGTTTTAAGCATGTAACACTTTTTAAAACAATGTAAATTTATACAACTCTTTAAATGATAATGAAGTGAGTTCCACAGTCGTGTACTC